GGCCCCACTGAACGCTCGGCCCCCCATCCACCCAGCCCTGGCGCCCCGTCTACAGCACGGCCCCACTGAACGCTCGGCCCCTCCAGCCCGCGAGTCACCCCTTCCTCCCAGCCCCGGCGCCCCGTCTACAGCACGGCCCCACTGAACGCTCAGCCCCTCCAGACAGTTCACGGATAGTTCCCCTCTTACATCTCCCACCCAGGGCCTCTCATTCTCCCTGGTCCCCACCCGCTAGCAACCCCCATGTCCCAGTCCCAGCCCTGGCTCCCCGAACTGCCCCTGCTCACTCACCTTGACGACGTAGACGTGGTCCGGGTGGTGCTTGGACGGCATGAAGATGAGGAGGAGACGCTCGTAGAGCTGGATGCCGGTGAGAGACGTGACCCCCATGTAAAGGAAGATCCCGAAGAGCACGGCCAGGGGGATCCGGCGCAGCATGTTGCCCATCACAATGGACAAGCCTGCAAGGACAGAGCTCAGGGCATCACTCACCTGCAGCCCCCCCAGCTGCTTGTCCGCTGCACATGGACCATTGTCCGGACACCGCCTGCGTCTCTCTAGCTGCCACACAGGACAGGGTAGGGGCGGTCACTCTCAGGAGCCCCCAGCTGGGGGAGCTGCGGATGGGGCGGGGGCTCTATGGAGCTGTCGGGGGCAGGGCTGGGGTACTGGCCATGGGGCTCTTTTGGGGGCAGGGCTGGGGTGCTGGCCCTGCAGAGCTGTTGGGAGCAGGGCTGGGGGCCGAGGGGAGCTGTCGTGGGCAGGGCTGAGGCAGGACTAAGGCGCTGACCATGGAGAGATGTTGGGGGCAGTGCTGGGACGCCGGCCGTGGGGCGCTGTAGGGGGCAGGGCTGGGACACTGGCTGTGGGGAGCTGTCGGGGGCAGGGCTGGGGCGCTGGCCATGGGGAGCAGGTCGGGCATTAGTTGTGGGGGCGGGGAGGGGCACTGGCTGTGGGAGCGGCTGGGGCACTGGCCATGGAAAGTTGACGGGGGAGGGCTGGGGCGCTGGCCATGGAAAGTTGTTGGGGGAGGGCTGGGGCGCTGGCCGTGTGGGGCAGGTTGGGCACTAGTTGTGGGGGAGGGGAGAGGCATTGGCTGTGGGAGCGGCTGGGGCGCTGGCCATCGGGAGCTGTTGGGGGCAGGGCTGGGACGCTGGCCGTGGGGGGCAAGTTGGGCACTAGTTGTGGGGAACGAGTAGGGCACTGGTTGTACATGCTAGGTAAGGTCGATCGCCGCAAAGTAGCAGCGCTGGCTTTGGGGCCAGGGCAGAGGTGCTGGCCACAAGGAGCGGGGTGGGGTGCTGGTTGTTGGGGGAGGGAGGGCTGGCGGCGAGAGAGGGGCAATGGCCATGCGGCGTGGGGCGGGGCACTGGTTTTGTGGGCAGGGTACTGGTGCTGGCCGCGAGGTAGGGGCACTGGCCATGAGGTAGGGGTGCTGTGTAACTAGGCCTGGCCTGACATGAGTAATTACCACTTGGAGGGAGGCCTCATTTCTTGGAGGCTAGAATTTGAGAGGTGTATAGACCATTAGGTTGAAAGAGACAGAATGTCTGAGCCAGCTAAGCCAGGAGGGAGAAGAGCCAGGAACCTTTACTAACAACAGACAAAGTGAGCTAGGAATACAGAGGTGAGGTACAGAGTAGGTCGAGTGTTTTGGACTCCAGGGAACGGGATGAAGTGTTCTCCCAGAATTGGACAAGCTGTGTGGGAAGGTCTTGGAGGGAGCCCCAACATGCTGGTTGGGGGGGCGGAGTAGGGCTGCTGGCCATGGGGATCCTGCTAATCCTATCCCTGGACAACCTCTGCCCCCCAAGTTCAGTAGCTTGGGGCTCACCGACAAGGACAGCGATTGCAACTCCTGTCACGCGCTGCTCCTTCACCTCCTCAATCTTCGGCTTCTCCCCCGGAGCGATGGCCTTGCTCATGACCGTCAGGGCATTGACGTGGGTGACTGAGCGCACGGTGGCGGCAGTCAGCCAAGGGAGCCCGAACAGCGCACAGAGCCCGCCCATGGTACCAATGAGCAGCAGGTCCAGATGGAAACCGGAGCCTTTCATGAGCTTCCTCTCCTTCTTACTGACAATCAGGCTGGGGGGAGAAGAGGGTCCTGCTGTCGGCACCAGGCCTGCTCAGCCCCGGGTCCCCCCTGCGCCTGTGCTGCCGGGGCAGAACATGTGCCCAATGGCCTTTGGAGCTGGGAGCACTGCTCACACCCTGCACAGAGGTGCGGTTGGCAATACGAGCTGCCAGGCAGGGGAGAGTCCAGCCTGGCAAGTGTGGGGAAGAGGTGACGTTCTTCGTCGCTCCTGGCCGTTCTCCTGTCTGTCAAGCCCAGGGACAGGCTCCTTTCCTGGGCGAGGCTGGTGCAGGCTACGTAGACTCCACCTGGCAGGGGAGGGGAACCCACAGCCACAGTCGCTGTGCAGGAAGGGCCATGACAGGAGAGTCCCAGGGAGCAGAACCCTGCCTCCTCACATCCAGACTGGGCATCCCGCAGCCCGAGCCTGCAGCTGAACATCCGGGGCCCAGCCCAATGCGGAGAACCCCTCACCTCGTCCATCTCCCCGCACAGCTGCCAGGCACTGGCTCGGAGCCCAGTGGGACGAGGGAGCTATGGGTGCAGGCAGCAGTACTCACGTGGTGATCTGGGTCTCCATGAAAATGAGGATGAAGACCAGGAGTGCAGGGATGGCTGAGGCAAACATCATCCACATGGGAAAGGCCTGTCGGCTGCCCAGGGGGTGAATGAACCAGTCGCGCTTCTGGGGAGACGTGACTGAGAGCCCAGAGGGAACATTCAGCTTCTGTGAGAGCAGGAAAAAAACAACATTTACTTAATGACATTAAGCCCTCAGCCCCCTATGGCTCCAACCCGGCTCTCGGTACTGCCGGGATCCTCAGCCCCCTATGGCTCCGACCCGGCTCTCGGTACCG